GAAATTTTTATTTCTAGACATGTTAATTAGATTTATTTATGAAAAAGTGCCAAAATTTGCCAAAATTTTCAGATTTCTGTGTGATGGGCGATCATTTGATGAACACAGTAATTTGAAAAGCGCTGTAATTTAACCTATCACTTATTTAACATCTAGTGATTCTTGTACCATCTTATCAAGACAATTTTGGTGATGAAAAAAACATTCGATTCTGATCAACGGATTACAAGATGATCACACAGATGTCCTTTGATATAAACGAGTAATATTGCGGCTGATCGTCACAATCAACTTTCTGTAAGTACACTCGTCGGGGAAAAAATGCATTTATAGAGGATAAAGCGTGATAATAAGTGACATATTATCGGGGAATTTAAAATTTTGGTCAAATGATGTTCACTTAAGAGAGAAAGTCACGAAAAGTGCACTTATAGAGATTTGACTGTATTGCTTGCTTACGTATCTGGTATGTTAATTTTATGTTGATTCGTCAATTCCGTCATTTTATCATCCAAAAGTTGAAATTATTAGATCTAGCAAAAGTTACGCAATAATAAGTTATTCGCACTTTTTCTTTAATAAACAAAAAGTATATAATATCGAAAAATTAAATGTTTTTTAATAATATTTTATTATTGCAGTATTGATAAATTTTATAAATTTTTAACTCCGCCGAATTACCCTCTTCTATCTTATACAAATACCTACTACATATTTACACATAAATGAAATAAAATATATTCATGAATTATGAAATGAAAAGATTAAGTAAATGCATAATAAATACAAAAGATGATAAATACAAAAAGGTGTATACAAAATACAGTCAGACCTCTCTAAATGCACGTCGTCGGGACCAGCTCTAGCACGTGCATTTAGAGAGGTATTGCATTTAGGGAAGTAAAAATCTATAGATATAATATTAGTTGGGCCCAAAAGAAGACGTGCATTTAAGGAGGTGTTGCATTTAGGGGGGTAGCATTTAGGGGAGTCTGACTGTACTCTATGACTAAAGAAACTATAAAAGGAAGAATAAAACCAGCCATATACAGATATATACGCAAATCTACGAATTTTTAACTTCTTCGATCAATGTACCAACTGTATTAGGATTAGCTAAAGTACTTAAGTCACCTAAAGAGTCAGTTTGACCTTCCACAATTTTTCTCAAAATACGTCTCATTATTTTTCCACTTCTAGTTTTTGGTAGATCATTGACAATATAAACTTTTTCTGGTGCAGCAAAAGGGCCAATAAATTTACGTACTTGCAAGATTAAATCTTTTACATCAGTATCATCACTATTTGGTTTCAAAGTAACAAAAGCTTGCACACATTGTCCTTTTATTTCATTATATACACCAATAGCTGCAGCTTCAGCAGTCGCAGGATGCATTATTAAAGCGGATTCGATTTCTGAAGTTGATAATCTGTGACCTGATACATTAATAACATCATCCACACGTCCACGAATCCAATAATATCCATCATGATCTCGGCCAACACCGTCACCTGTAAAGTAATAACCTTTATAGGGTCTCATATAAGTATCAAGATATCGATTGTGATTATTGTAAATAGTACGTGCCATTGATGGCCAAGGTCGACGTATGGCCAAAACACCTTCTGCTTCGGTTGTTTCTATCTCTTCACCGGTATCCGGATTAAGTATTGCAAGGTCAATACCAAAGAAAGGAAAGGTAGCTGAACCAGGTTTTGTCGCAGTGGCTCCGGGAAAAGATGTCACAGTGACCGACCCAGTTTCGGTCTGCCAATAAGTGTCAATCACCGAACAAACATTTCGACCGACAACCTCATTATACCATTCCCAAGCATCAGGGTTGATAGGTTCACCAGCTGTACCAATGACTCTTAAACTTGAAAGATCATGAGGATCTACGTATTCACGGCCAAATTTACGTAATAAACGAATGGCAGTTGGTGCGGTATAAAATTGTGTAATCTTATGCTTGGAAACAACTTCCCAATATCGGCTTGGAGTAGGATATATTGGAGTTGATTCAAATAATACTGCAGTACCACCATTTGCCAAAGGACCATAGATAATACAATTATGACCGGTCATCCAACCAATATCACCCATACAACCCATGATATCACCTTCATGATAATCAAAAACATATTTAAGAGTAGCAGCAGCACTTAATAAGTAACCTCCGGTAGTGTGGATGACACCTTTTGGTTTACCAGTAGAACCAGAAGTATATATTATGAAAAGAGGATCCTCAGCGTTGACGATTTCAGGTGGACAATAAGGACGATGTTTTTCAAGTTCATCATGCCACCATACGTCACGAGGGGAGGAGAACGGAACTGAAGATCCAGTACGACGAAATACAAAAACGTGTTCGACTCCAGGGCATCCTAATAAAGCCTCATCAACAATCTTTTTAGTATGAATAGTTCTACCACCACGACAACCCTCATCAGCAGTTATAACAATTTTACTAGAAGCATCCAGTATACGATCACGTAAAGAACCTGGAGAGAAGCCGGCAAATACTACGGAATGCACGGCACCGAGACGAGCGCAAGCTAAAATAGCAATAGCTGCTTCAGGTACCATTGGCATGTATATAGAAACTGTATCTCCTTTTTTCACACCATGAGCTTTCAACACATTAGCGAAACGGCAAACATCACGTAAAAGTTCACCGTAAGTGATCTTACGACCTTGACCAGGTTCATCAGCTTCATAAATGATCGCAACCTAAAAAAAACAAACAAACCATTATTATCAAAATTAAATTAATTGATAACTATAAGAAATAAATATTACCTTGTCAGGATTTTTAATAGCATGTCTATCTAGACAATTATAGGAAGCATTCAATTGTCCTTCACGGAACCAAGCAACATCACCATGTTCAAAACCTCCAGATAGAACGGTTTGGAAAGGAGTGTGCCAAGTAAGAAGTTCATTAGCGAGCTAATAGTAAACATAATAAATGGAAATATTTTTTAAATTTAATTTGTAAATTATTAACTTGTTACAGAATAATATATACTCAATGCACCAATTAATTAAAATTTTACATACTTTTCCCCAAAATTCTGTAGGATTTTTAATACTCTCTTCATAAAGCTTTTTATATTGTTCAATAGAATTAACATGTGGAGGAGGATTACGTGATAAAAGACATTCTGGAACAGGATGAAGTTTAAATTGTATTTTAAGATGATCGGTAGACATTTTTTAATTTGAATATAAAAACGTACGTACGTAAGTGCAGAACAACAGTTCTATTTATATTTTTCTAGGATTCATTGATCCTATTATGGCTAACAATAATTTTTTGGGTTGGCCATTATAATATCTATAATTAGCACTAATGCCTTATTAATATGGATACAGTAATAGGCATAAACGTGAAAGCATGAAAATTCTGCTATTATATTAGGTTCCATAGGGGACAAATTCGATAGTGAAAAGTAATGCGGCGAATTTTCAGGATTTTTATTTTTTTTAAATTACATCTTGGAAGAAATTTCATGACCAAGATTCTAAGAACGATTTCTTTGATCGTCTTAAATTTAGTGCCACATCCTGTGCATTAAAAATACAGCACTATAAATAAATCAAGAATCTGAAATTAAAATTTCATGTAACACAAGCTTTAATTCAAGTTGACTTCGCAGTCAACAGATCGAAAAATGGCAATCCGGTTTTGCCAAGCCAGGATCAGCCCTAAATCCTAATCGGAAATACGGAGAGTACGTACATGAAATTAAAGTACGTACGTACGTACATACGTAGTGTGAGCCGCAGAATCGGAAGCACGTGAATGATGGTGGCGTAGTAAGGGTTAATCGGCTGTTGTGAAGATCACTTACCATAGAAGGGTTTTCCGGTACTATAGAGCTATCGGACCTTTAATAAGTAAAAACATTATCAAAGGGATAAGAGGGATTGGGAATATAAGAGATTTAAGTAATATAATCAGTATAGACTTTTTAATCAGTATAGGTCATATAATCAATATAGTACAGAAAAGATGTATAA